GAGAGAGAGAGGAAAAAGCTGAACTAATTGAGAAACAAAGAGGGGTGTTGTTAAAGATCCACCTGCTAGTTCTAGCAGCCCTTGTAACGTTCCCGCCCTACAGCCAATCGCGCAATCGCGTCGTTTCATCCCTTGCGCACGCATGAAAACATAACATCGACAAAACTATTCGAATCGTTCGCAGTTTCCAAAACGTGCAACGTTTGGATAACCAACACATGCTTTCATATGTCTTGAACAGACAGATAACATTTTTATATCTGAACAATAAAAGCTTCGCAGTGAAAAATTGTTCGAACCTTTTTTGAGAACGTTAGAATATTGAATATAGAATATTTCTTATAATTGTAAAATAATATTATGTTGTAAATAATTAGATATACGTACGTGAAGAGAAAAAATGTTTCAATAAAAATTATTAAATATTAAATTAACTAAAGTATACACTCACAAATACTAAAGTATGTAAATATTAACATGTTACACTTATATTTAATACAAATAAAATATCGTGAATGGAATTAATAATTTAATTTGCATAATACATAAATATATAATATAAATAATATAAAAGTTACAAAATATAAAATTGTAATCAATGTTTTGCTTATTATATTCCATCGAAACTTTATAGACTCTACAGAATAGAAGTTTCTGTTTTCACATTTGTGGTTATCACTTGGCAAAATATTCCAAATTTTACGCGTGACTAATCGGTTGCCCAAAGAACATTAGTAAAAGGGCTCCTAGAATTTCTACCTGGCTTTTGACGAAATATCGATAATATCGAACTGAGCTCAAGCGAACTACTTCCACGCGTGAAACATTTCCATTGAACACAAAAGCGCACTCCTTTCTCCTCGTGGCCGAGGCGATGTTATTAGAGATAATAATCTCATAAAATAATAATTCCTCTTTCGGGGGCTGCCTGGAACTCGGGCAGGTCCCTGCTTGACGAAACGGCAGACAGGTTGACCGTGAAAGAGGAGGATTTCGTCCTGCGCGGTTCCTACCGGAGTGAGTGCCGGTGCCTCCCAGTAAAGAGAGAGATCGCACCTTTTGGATGCCTATTACATTAACGAGTGGTGGCGGCCATTGTCTGGCCCAAATGCGAGGCCGACCGCGCGATAATGGCCGTCTATAATTTGAGGGAAGTCAGAACAGCCCCTTCCCGTTCGACGTAAAGCCTATTTAAAGCCCGGTGGAATTATGAGGTGAAATTACTTTCAGCCACATACACGTCGAAGTGTGCGCCACGCGTAATTGGTACAAGCATAATTTTTAACCGGTGCAGCGTAAGTTTTTGTGTCTTTTATTATCGTGCTCTTTTTGATTCTTTTTGCTCTATAACAGGTGCTTACGAAATGTAATTTCTGTTATGCCCTTATTCCCACAACAGAAATTTACCGTACATATGTGTACATATGAATATTGAAAATATTAAAAATGTGATTTCTCTTCATTTCCCGATCAAAACGCATAGCATTTCTAAAATAAAGATGCAACAGCAATGTTACAAATAAGAGTTACAACATTTCCGATTATTTAAAACTAAGATAAATAAATAGAAATAATTATAAATAATGGAAAATTATTTTTTTCATGTAAAATAAGCATGAAAATTTTTATGATAAAAAAAGATTTTAGATATTTTTTTCATGTTTTGTTATTTATTGTTTTAAAGTATGAATTCATCTCATATCACGTAAAATATTTTTTTGTAGAAAGATAAACCAATTTTATTTATTAATTATAATTTAACATACAGAATACGATATATTAATTTTTTGAAACTGTGCTACAACACGAGAAGTGTTCAAAGTTGGTCTCTGATTTTCTTAAGCTCGTTGCAATTACTAACGATTATCGTTTCAAGGAGTAAATAAGAGAGTCCTCGGTTTTCCTCGATGCTCAAGACTCTACCGTCGGAATGAATTTTCCTTCGATCAAACCCGTCGCATGGAATTCGCTCTATCATGCTGCATCTAATGGCGTGGCCCTTCGGCTTTTTCAATTCTACGGCTTCTTTGAAGCCCGCGTTCGGCTTTTTCCACGGCCACGGGAACGTCGACAGATCATTTCTCATATTTCGCGCGCACGCTTAACGACCATTTTCTTCGCCCCTCTCCTCCTTTTTCTCTCCCTTCAACCCGACGGTCCGCCGCGTTGGATAATAATTCTTGCATTACTCGACAGAATTTTCGGTGCCGATCCTGCCGAAGGACCAGGAGAGCGCGCTCTTATATATAATAAGAATTCTTCCCGATTTAGACACAGACGGCATATCCGACGGGATACCGGAAGAGAATTCTCGAGGCAAAATGCGCCGGCACGATTGTCCTATTTCGGAGGGACGACGATATATATATATATATATATATATATATATATATATATATATATATGTGTGTGTGTGTGTGTCACGATAATCTCTTTCCTATCCTTATTGACAAAGGGTGACGATCCCTAGTTCTAAACGAGTAGGATACCAGTTCACGACGCTAACTCCGGAACGGAGCTTGACGTCTCATTTGGTGCCGAAGGAACACGCGAATCGTCGAGCGTCACCTGCCGTGAACGATAAATCGTAATTGCAATCATCAATTCTGTCGCTGATCGATGTCGAACTCGTCGGCTATTTGTGCCTTGTTTCGTCGGACGGGTGTGCGAACCGGTCGGTCGATTGGATAGACGCGTCCTCGATGTGTCTTATCATATCTCTTTAAAAGCTTCTCGGTCGATCTTTTTACTCGAACGTGGAAGTTCATTAAAAATTTAATGTGATTAAATTCGAACGGGAAGATAATTAATAGCTTTAACATTTAATTTTAGAGAATGTGTGAGGAAAATTGCTAATGTATCGTGCAGCAATAATGTTAATACTATTATAAATACGCGTCTAATAAATAATATACATGTTTATGTTAATTTAGTAACAACAATTCGTTGTACTCGAAGCAATAAATTACTCAGCAATCATGACCGTTCATTGGCCGTCGCATAAATTCGCGTAAGGCTTTCCACTATAATAAATCAATTGCATTCATAAAAATTCTTCAGATTTTAATCCCGTTTGTAATAATTACCCTAAATCAGTCATATTTGTAATATTTTTAAAAAATAAATAATTATTTATAATCATCAAAATTTATAATACCAGATCAGAAAATATTAATTCTTCACTAATGCTCGAGGTGCAAAAGTGTTTGAAAAATATCCGTGAGTAAATTATTCGTGATTTAAAAGAATTAATCGATAATGAGATTCGACACGTGCAAACCAGACCGTCTCGTGAGCATTGTTAATGAAGCGTCGCATGTCTGTTGTCAAATCGCGGCGATTAAGACAAATTGCCGTTAAAGCTGCCTACACGTGCCTGCGTTACGCAATACTTCGAGTCGCAATACGACACAACACACTCGCTGGACGCTTTTCTAACGCATACCTTTGTCCACTTGATCCTAATCGAACGGTCCTAAAGGAAGACGGTCAGAGGACCCGGAAAGTAATCCAAAACTCGATTCACACCAGTAATCACAATGATCGTAATGATAGTACTTCAGTCACTAAGCCATTCATTGCGAACAATTTCCAAGATACGCTTTTACACTAGACACATCGTTCCATCTACAAATCTCTAGTTCAAATAACAGTCTTCTTTCCTAAGAATAGCATTCTTCAGTTGAAAAATCCATCTCTCACACCAGGGTACTCCGAACGGAATCTCTCGGCGAACAAATTGTCTACATCCAAAATTCCCAAAGGGAGTTTGCGCGGATTAATCCTCAGCGCATTTTTCAGCGCTTTTGGAT